ACATCTCCGGTTTCACCTGAGGTAGTTTTTAGTTTCAATGTGAATTGAATATGTTTATGAAGCATTTCCTGTATATTTACGCCTTAGATTTATGATAACTTTTGTATATTAATGTGTTCAAATGAATAATGTTTCGAATCGGTTTTATATAATATGTGAAATAATGGTTATATAGGTAACGTTTCCACGTTGGAATGTGCAAATGGGAATTTCCTAGGGAATGGAGATTTCAATAAATATACCCATATATAGGAGACCAGGTAGCCCCGTGTTAGAAGCGTCAGTGTTCTGATCGCGATTGTTTTTCATTCGTGCATGAGTTCGAATCCGAAACGAATGACGGATAGAACAATTTCAGAACAACAACAAAAATCTACACTGTATAGGTATAGAAAATTCATTTGAGTGACTGCATATGTGGTTGTGAGTGAATTTACTGATTGACATTTTAGATAGATATTTCATCAAGTTCTCATACTTATCAATGAGAATGTTTATAAAAAATTTGATTGAATTGGTTCATGAATTACCATTTTACACAGTCGAGTAGGGTGAAATTTCAACTCAATCGGGCGTGGACCGAAATTGACTCATTATTGCGTGGACCTTGAGTGAAATTTCACTCAATTTTTTTTTCAGTGTATATAATATATAAGCCGACGCCGCTATACCGTTGCAATAAAAATGAATATTTTCCACAGTCACAGATTTCAGGAAAGATCGAAAAGCAATGTGTTAAAAATGCGTAAAAAGAAAAAAATCATCTTTTATAAAGTATAGTTAGGTAGTTAGGTACCTATTTTGGCTATTTCTGACAGATAGCTTTGATGAGAATAAGTACCTAATTGAGTTTCGTCATTTACCTATATAAGATTCATTAATGAAACAATACTTTCTTGTAGAAACTGCCAGCATAACGTATTGTTTAGGTATAGCTATTCATCAGCAATGTACAATGTAAGTTGAAGCGAATGATGAGTCAGGTAGGTATATACATACATATAGAAATCCATTCACAACGCCTATACTTTATTCTACTGGATGGTTTTAATTTTCATTGATATAGGTATACTGTTTTGTTAAGTGTTCCGGAATGTTCCATTATCATGTTGGTATGTACAATTTGGAAATTGGAACATTAGAATATGCAAATAAGTAGATCACATACCATTATCATTATATAGGTAAGTATCAGTGGTATATAGGTATAGTTTATCCAAAAACAATTGCAGAATCTCGTGCCGCACCTGCAGTCACTTCAAAGGAAACTTCAAACACGCCGACGCCGCACAGTGCGGAATATATTGCAATTGATATTGGATATACTTTACAGGTATATATATACCTACACAAAATGTTTGATCAAAATCTAGATCAAACATGCATGATACATCACCCACCAGCGAGCACCAGAAGGTCCATGGTTCAATGTACAACACTTTGGAGAAGTCATCCTAATTTTGGGTTGTGTTTCATTGATCATTAGTCTCGTCCAAGGTTTCGTTATTAGTATACCTATACCCACCTATTATTGAATCAAATTTGTGGGAATATAGGTAGATGGGAACATCAGCATAAAGTTGATCACATCAGACATTGATTGAAAACTGTTTCCCATGATTCCAGTTTTCTTAATTTTGGCGCATATTATAGGTAGGTATAGGTATACACCTCGGTATACACTATATAGACAAGGAGCTTTATACCCATAGGTTTGTTGTGGGCCTGTTTCAGAGAAATATATATATACTTATATGGAAGGTAAGTCGTTGCTGACCAGTATATAGGAATGAAACCAGTGTATATTGGGGGTAGCAGCATCAGTGTAAAAGGAATACTCTTGCTTACGTGGACACATATAGGAGCGTTATGTCATCATTTATTTTACAATTTTATTCTTTTAACAACGTTGTAACCAACCTCATCACCAAAGATGTAAGTACAAGGCGGCCATAGTGTTTCCCTCGGTGTTTCCCAATGTATTTACACTCCTTAATCATTGTAGTATTCCTGATGATGGAAATAAACATTTCCGAACGCTTGGATAAACTTTCTTATACTATGTGGAATGTGCATTTTTATTTTCCGAGGTTGTTGAGAAAAATGACATTATTAGTACTTACTTATATATAATAGGTATAGGTATATATATCATGTCCTCGATCATGTCGAGAGACGTTCTTGAAACGTGATTATTTTGATCTTAGGAAAAAAATATATTTGTGACGATTTTAAATAATGATGGTAGGTACCTTAACACCGATATTTTTCTATATTACCTGAGATAATACCTTTTTATACCTACAGGGTATATTTTATTGATTTGCCACTTCAGCATAAAATATATACATAGAAAAACTATTCCAACTGCCACTATGATGCAACGATCATTAATTCATAGACTCCCTATATAATACAAAACATACTTCCGAGTATACTTCTTTGGAGTTGTCCAATAAATGTATAATATTGGAGATCTTATGAATATTTCGTTATAGGTATAGGTCTGACTATACCTACCTATAGTATGGAATTTTGCAAATTCAACGATAACCCTCTGTCTAATAATATCTTCGAATATGTTGTTATTAAAAAACTACTGATAAAAACCTACCTACTTACCTACTCATTGAAAGTGATAATTTATTCCTATTGTAAACTCAACGATAGGTATGACAAAACCGAGGACAAAACTAAAATTTGTCCGCCAATTATATAATAGTTTAACTACCTATAGGTTCGTATAATAGGTAGCTACCGTCATATTTTTGAACATAATAATTTCGTTATCAGACGCAAAAACATCGAAAAACAAACTTCATTATAGACAATAACGAATACACTGAAACAAAAAAGATGGTAGTTATTACCAAACGTTTAGTAAAATAGGCGCCAGTCACAACTTTCATCAAATGATAAGTTTAGTATTAGGTACCATCTTTTTTTTTTCAGTGTAAGTAGGTATGTTTTGATGTAATATATAAACGGATATATAAGATGGAATGTGAATCAAAACATTTATATCATTTTTATAGGTATATTTACTAGGTGTTTCTGGAATGGAAGCCAGAAATAATCTCTGAAATAAAGTGCCTCATATCCGAGCTCATATCGTTCAACTCGGTTCAACTATATAGGTACCTATATGGATTAGAGTATGACTATAAGTATATCAAACATACACTTTCTGCAACATTGCAAAAGTGATTTAGAGGCTCTATAGGTATACTTACTCACTAGGTATAGGTGACTCTGATCATGACAAAATCAAACCCGATCAAACCATATTATATAATCACTTAAACTTGACATTATTTCATCAATTAATTACTGAAGGTCTAGTCAAACTTCAAACTACAAGATGTTTCATAATAACGTTTTTCGATTTCGTTTTGTCTGTTTCCGTCTGTTTCCTACTTTTATCCATTTCTTTATCGCCCCGATTTCGGAAAAAGCCTTGTAGGTATACCTTCATCTTCGTCATACCTCAGGGGTCAGTTCTAGGCCCTATTCTCTTCTTGATTTATATCAACGATATGGTTAGTCTAGATATTTCTGATGGGCTCCTAACTTCATTTGCAGATATTACCACGATTCTCTGGCATAACGAAGATCGAGCTATAGTTTGGCTCCGTCTATTTCAGTGGACGTTGAAAAAATTGAAAGTTGGTGTGAAGCTGATATGATAACTCACAAATTTAGTGACATTCAAGTCTGAGGTTGAACAAATTACGCTATAGGAGATCAACTCATTGAGAGCAAGTCTGTCACGAAATTTCTTGGTGTTCACATAGATAGATAGCAATTTGAAGTTTGACCATCATACTTTTATTAGGTATATCAGCTCTTGAAAAAAAATATCCTCCGGTTGCTTTGCAATCAATATGATATCCCGTGAACTCGGATTACGAGCTTCAATATCGGCACACGATCACTTATTGAATCGCATCTGAGGTATACCTATGGAATTTCATTTTGGGGATGTAGCTGTCATGAATGGTCTCTCAAATAGTGTTTTCGTCCTTCAAAAACGAGCTCTGAAATTTGTATTTTAACTCAAGACGCGTGACTCATGCAGGCCAATTTTTCGCAATTAGAAAAAAATATTGACGGTCTGTCTGCTTCACAAATGAGTATAATGGAAATTTCGAGGGAAATTTTATGAACACAAACACAAACATAGACAAGAATATACGCGTTATACAAGAAAACTTGCTCTTCCTCTGCCTAATTCATCTTTATAACGAGACAATCCTTGATTTATAGGAGTAAAAAGATTTACAATTATTTACCAGATTATATAGCTATATAATCAATGATTTGAAACACTTCCGGAAATCTGTCAAAGATATGTTAGTGGGAAAATGCTTGTATAGTTTAGACATATACCTACCTACTTTAGCCTACAAATTCTAGTCCTTCTATGATAATATGTGAGAATTATTAGAGATTCATATTATTGATTTTAATGAGACATATTCTTTGTAATAATGAAGATACACTTGTTCTATATGTTATTTTATATATGTTTTTGTTCTTTGTTATTTTTATATATTCCTCTCTCATTTTATTTTATTTATTCACCTATATCTTTGCAATCAATGTATCGCAAGATATTGACTTTGTCGACAAAATGTGTTCATTTTAGACAATAAAGCTTATCTATATATCTATCTATCTATATCTATCTATCTTCATAGTTTATCGGTATCTTACTGATTGAATCGATAGAATATACATTCCTTGGCTAAGGTCCATCCAATAATGCCACACGAACATTCTTCGTCTAATTATAAATCAAAGAGCGACTTCGCCAGATAATCAATTAGCCGAAAAACGTCCCAACAAACCAACGAACAAGAATCCAAAACGCACATGAGGATAAGGAATAGCTCTCGCATCAGGACCGTTTCAACCCCATTACGACCACACAGACAGAGCGCAAGTCCTCAGTAACAAGGTACCGGGACATATTATTTGAGAGGTAGTAGGTACGGTACCTGAGTATTCGGAGATGCTCGGAAGCCAAACTGGGACATGTTGTGTCCCAGTCGCTACTCCGCTCACTGAGTCGCCGCCAAGGGAACCATCATAGTCCCCGAACGCACGAAAACACACCAAAAAACACTAACCGCCAACTGAGATGTGGTCCAAGTCCGCACGGATAAACACGTGGTAGCGCGAAATTCGGTAGCGATGCGGCGAGAGATGAAAATTCAATTCGTTCCAGGTGATGATATTATTGCGGTCACCCGAACCTTCTTTCTGTCCGATTTTTGCGATTCTGCCCAGTGGGTGGAGCGGAGTGGGAGGTATGGGAGGGGGGGTGGCAGTACTACCGCTCGTTGATGTTTTTGCCACCGACGACAGAACGCGACTACCGATGTCACGGAATTCTTTTAGCGGCCGACAAATTGTCGCGATCACACACACGCACACGTACACAAGCGCAGTAGTCGCGCTATCGGCAAAAAAGCGGTCGCTAGTGGGGCCCCGTCGGCTCTTTCTGAGACGGATTTTTGTGTCGCCTCCCCTCGATCGATCCACCACCACTAAAAATCCGGCGCCCCTACTTCTTTTCTCGCGCTACCGCTTCGGTCCCCGCGGAGCATTAGTAGGCTCCGCCCACTCGTCTTCGCCCAATCGGGGACGAGTGATGGATCGGCAGACGGTCGAGGAACGTTGTACCGACCGCGTCAGCACACAGCACCTACTTTCTGCTTGTGTTGTGAGCAGTGATGCCAATGTGCGTGTAATTACTGCATTTGCACGTATTGGCATCGCCTTGCAGTAATGAAATTTTATGTGTATTCTGCACGGATTCAGTGATCTTGAAAGATCCATCCTACACTGATAAAAAGGATTCCTTGGATTGAAGGAATTTGACTTTACCTCAAGGGCGCCAAGCATTTGAATAGGGCGGAATGCATGGACATTTCGGCCCAATATTCCAAAAACTTTGAGGCAAGCGCCTAAGTTTCTTTAGCATGAAATTATATAAATTCGAGGCAAGAAACTTTAGTTTTGCCCTAATAACTAATGCTTTTGGCTTAAAATCGTAGTTTTCCCAACTTATGGGGAATGTTGAGGTAATTGCCATGATTTCTTTAGCCCAATGATATATGAGTTTATAGCAAAATACCCTGAACTTATCATAATGAACAATGAATTTTGGTCAAAATCATTGAGATATGATTTCAAAGTTATGAGATTTAAGATGAAAGATATGGTATTATTGTATTGAAATATAGGGTTTCGCTGTAAATACAGCAAATGTTTGATGCAGTATCTTATGGTCTTGGAACAAAATGTATATAATCTTGAGGCAAATTCTCTGGAGATTTCTTGAGAGGATACTCCTGTAAAATGTTGAAATAATAATTAGAATTTCAATTGATTTCTATAAAAATTTTGAGGATCATGTTATTATGAATCCTTAACAAAACCCCATTATTGGTTCATTGATATTAGATTTAGTTCTGATGTTCTGACGAAAAAACGTTTTGCATTGGTTGAAATATACTTGAAAATTGAAATATCCCATCAACTTGTTTTAGCTTCTTATTTATCCTTGGGCGAAGAATTGTGGAAATCCTGAAAAAACAACCATTGATAAAAAACTCATTTATTTTATAAAATAACACATGAAACCTTTTATATGATGATGAAATACCTATCTACTGAAATAAGTATAGGTGGGTACTTACCTTGAAATGTTTGCATCATATGGCTCAAACGCCACGCATCTAGAAGTTTTTCAAACTCCACTGAATCGCTCATGATCCACAGCACAACGCTACACGACAGATATGGCCGCTAAAATGCATTGGCAACGGGACGGTACTCGACACGATGCAGAAGAAGAAGGATGATGGGATGATGGGGTCGACCCATGCATTGCGCATGACTCAAACGGAGTCGGTATGTTTTCGGTTAACCTCGGGTGGACTCGATCTCATCAACGGTCTCAACCGAACGATTTCAGATCTTGTATCAAAGTCTTGTGATCTTGAGGTAGATGCAAACCAAGCAGGACTAGAGACAAGGTCGATGATGTTCTCTCAAAAGCGTTTACAGCCAAAAGATTCAAAACCTTATTACAAAAACAGCAATAATCTGCAGATGAGAGCAATGTATTTGAAAGGAAGAAATTGTCTTTGTCAGGAGAGAAAAGAATCTAAAAGCATCATTCTTTTGTCACCAATCGGGTTTTTTTATCAGTGTATAATATTTCAATCTCAATTTTCAGAATCATACTATTGTGTTCACAGTGAGCAATATACGTTTCACGAATGCTGCGACAACTCCAAGAGTCCAAGAAAAGAACAGCACTAACAGGATATAATAATATTCAGTCATATGGTAAAATTTACCATTCTCGTTGTTGTGTACGCATACGCGGTTGAGTTTATTGCTTTCTATACCTTCCATTTTGAGGTTATCTTAAGTCGATTTTTTTACAGAAATCATAGGTATAGTTTATCCAAAATCAATTGCAGATTCTCGCGTGCTGCACCTGCAGTGACTTCAAAGGAAACTTCAAATATGCCGACGCCGCACAGTGTGAGATATTCTGCAATTGATATTGGATATACTTTACCTACTTCAATCAGCAAAAGAAAGTTGATAATTCAAGGATACCGTAACTCCATCCGTTTTTTTCATTTCGATTTATTCTACAAAAAATGCGCGGACCTTCTACGTATTCTTTATATTATTGCAGTAATTTGCGCGGATTTTGTACAACAACTCAGATTGACAAAAGTCGCAGAGTGGACCCCTGAAAAACACCAGAAAAAACACCAAACCTGACGGAATCGAAAGAAAAAATGCGCCGAAGGCGATTGTTTTTGCAAATCTAGTAATTTTCTGATGGTTTTAGCTTCAGAGTTCAGATCTCTAAATTACACCATCAGATAATATAGAAGTCTATATATAGCTGGTCAACGGATCTTGGCTTAACGATATACAGGGTGTCCCGAAATTAGCCGGCCGGCTTCTTCGACCAAAAATAGATGAACATGGTCGAGAAATGAAAAGAAGGCTCCTGAAGATGATATTTCTCGAATATTTCCGAAACGCCGAGTGATAAAGTGATGCATTTTGGTACAAGAACTCAACTTTCCATGACCAATGCGATGAACATAATATCATTTCGAAGTCCCACCCTGTATCATACAGTCCCGATTGGAATTCTGAAATGATTTCACTGATGTATTGATGGGCATGGAAATTTCAGTTCTTGTACCAAATTGCATCTTTTCATGACATGGAGTTTCGGAAATACTCAAGAAATATCATCTTCAGGGGGCCGGTATATATAGCTTCCTTATAGGAGACTTTTCTCGACTCATGTTCATCGAAAGTTTCCTTTCTATTTTTGGTCGTGTAAGCCGCTGGTGCATGAAGTTTGGCAGGCTAATTTCGGGACACCCCGTATAGGTACATGAATTTGAAAAATAAAATGTTTTTCTCGGTATAGCAAACAAAATGAACAATATAAATGCTTCATAACATCAATGTCAAACTTGTATAATGTTACGTATAAAACAAGAAAAATAAAAAGCAACATTTGATATCCCAACAAAAACAGCCAAAATGTGGATATAACCGTCAGAAAGTGATTTCAGTTGAAACCAGTATTTCTATAAGAATTCTTATTCTCTAGTTTTACATTGAACAATTAGATGTTTTTCATTGAACAAAGGGAATTTGGATGCATGTCCTCAACCACCAGATTTCACTATTTAATTGTAAAAATTCACCAAAATAAACACCATCCACTTGATGTCATATTTTGTCAAAGAACGAGACCACCAGTCATATAGTGTGTAATCTAAGTTGGCAATGCTGCTTGTGAGTGCGGTCGCTGGCTGCGGCTGTCGGGGTGACTGTCACGCTGGCTGACGGTCGTATTATTTGTTTTCTTCTCCTTGCATGCTTGGCTTGACGGATAGCGGGTCGGTAGACAGGTGGTGACGCGCGAAGCGCTTCACGACAGTCGGACCGTTAGACACTGCTTTAACGGAGTACTAAAACTGTTTTATGAAATGCCCGAGTGATGACAGTTCTTCCATTTATTTAGACACATCTCACAAATAATGTGAGTCACAGTCGGAGTCACAAATGTGTTTTGAAGCTCTGCTGCTATTCAGATTAATTCTAAATATAGGTAAATCTATAAGTACCAGGAAAATAAAAAAAAAAAGATTTCTGCATCGACCAAGATAGGTGGATAAAGTATATTCATATCCAAAAGTTTTTTTTTTCGGTAAACATTTCATCACCTGATGTACTTATATATTTATATGTACCTATACCATATTATATGTATGTTATAATAATTTGTAGTGGCCTCGGTAGTCGCTTGTTATATATAGGTATATATAGAGGTGTAGGTATCTATAACTCATTTTGGACTCTTGTGTGGCTTGTCATTGTTTCACATTAAGCCCCTTCAATTATTGATTGAAAAAATATACTCATTTCCAATTGTTTAAATGAAACACCCTATATATATGAACATATCACCCTATATTTATATGTACCTATTTACCTATAGCGAGTCCATCGCAAACAATATAACATATTGCGATTGGATGGTGTTAGTGCTCTTATTATTGCAGAAGTGACTATATAGAAGGGCTATTATCGTCCATCATGTTCATTGCATCTGATGACTATGTATTACCTACCTACCCATATAATATATCTATACCTACATTATATTAGGTAGGCCATGATTTTGTGTTTTTGGCATAGTAACTGACATTCTCATGTAAATTTATAAATTAACACATAGTTGTTCTCAGACCATAACCTAGTTAATAATTTATGGGATCCATGCATGGACAATAACTATTCTTGACCTTACTGCCAAAAATTCATTTGCACCGAAATAACTTGTTTTCTCTCTACATACATAGGTATATGTATATCCGCGATGATGTATACAGATTGTCTCATCGCATCGTATCTCCGAACTTTATATTGAAACAGATCAAATCATCAAATTTATAAAATTGTGCAAATATTAAATATATAGGTATATAAGTACCTACTTTTTTACGGAACACAATATACAGGGTTTTTCAGATTTTAATCGGGAACATTTTATATATATAGGTAGTAATAGGCACTATATAAGTATACTTATAGTAAGTAGGTACATCACCTATATACCTACGCAAAAATAAATAAAACGTTTCACATAAGCAGATATAGGTACATATAAATAGGTACAGGGTGATAACGTTATGAATATGTTTTGCCTCTTTCCAATATCGTATACCTATATATTTTCTTTTTTTCTTTTCGAAAACTATAAGCATGATATATAAACAGAAAAACTTATAAATTACTATTATATGGAAACGATCGAAAATTCTACCTCTATACCTACCTCTTTCATTGTTGAATAAAATGAAAATATGAAATATATAAGAAAAAAAAACGGAGTAGGTACAGTGCCGCCAAAAAAATTCGTAACGACTCTTGGCCAACTTAAAATATTTTTGACAAAGCAGAAATAGAAATAAGTATTCAAAGATACACGTATACCAC